CGTTCCCGGCCCCGCCGAGCGCTCCCGCCGCCGCGGCGCCTCCCCCGGCCCTGCCCACCGGGGCGGCAACGGAGCGGCGGGGGGGTCCCGGCCGCCTCCCGCCCAGCGCAGCGCAGGGCACCGGCACCCGACAGCCCGGGTCCCCCCCGGCTCTCCCTGACCCCGGTGCCCGTCACTCCCCGGGCTGCCCCTACCTCACCCCGCACCCCCATTGCGCACGGACCCCCCCAAACCACCCATCAGCCTCCCATAACCCACACAGCGGCTCCCCCCACCCCCTTCCCCGGGCACCCCATTGCCTCCCCATAACCTCCCCTTCCACCCCATCCTCCGGATGCCCTCTAGGCCCAGGGTAATGAGAACGCCATCGATCGGGGCCAGCAGCCGTGCAGGGAGCGCGGCGCGGGTGGGAGAACACGACCGGGATAAAAGAGCCTGGAAAAGGCTGGAAAGGGCAGAGCGCGGCGCTGGGAACACCGTGCGCTGCCCAGGGCCTCACCTGCGGGGCCAGGAGGCATCCGAGCCCCAGCCGACTCAGTCCCAGCAGCAGCCGAGGTGCAGGCAGGGTCACCAGCAGGAGCCCCCGGGGGTGCTGGAGCTGCAGGACAGCCCCGGCCGCCCCGCAGGAGCGGAGCAGGATAAACCGCTCCGGCCGACGGCACAGCCAAGCTCCCCGCACCGGCGGCGGGACCCGGGGAGCGGCTGCGCCAGGCCACGGCCCCAGGCTGAGCCGAGCCCGTCGCCCCGGTCCGCCCGGGGTCCCGGCAGCCCCACGGGCACCTCTCCCCCCCCAGTTTTCAGATCTCATCCCAAAGCGTCTCCCGGCGGCTGTTTCCACGAGCTCCGCCAGCGCCGGGGTGTGCCGCAGCGCAGGACACGGCGCGGGGTGTGGTGACACTCGTGGACACTTGGGACGTGGCTCTAAAGGAGCACGTGTTGCCCTGCAGCCCTGCCTGGCCGGATCCAGGCATGGGGAACGCAGCGCAGGAGGAAGCACTCAGCCATTGGGATGTGGGAGTCGTGGGAGTCAAGGCCTCAAAGACCTGAGCACCGGCTTGGGATGAGGGCACAAGGCGCTCAGGAGCCCCGGTAACGCTGTGGCCAGGACAGGCTAATGCTGGGCACTGTGGGAATAAGGGATATACTGGAAACCAGTGCTCTCTTGGGCCAGCATCAGCCCCACTGCCCCCGCACAGCTTTGTCTTCTCTCCCCTCATGTGCACCCTTGTGGAGTCCAGAGCTGGCACTGATGGATAAATGCAACCGCTGTGCTCAAGTGCCCAGAGAAGCTGTGGCTGCCCCATCCCTGGCAGTGTTCAAGGCCAGGTTGGACACAGGGGCTTGGAGCAAGCTGCACCAGTGGAAGGGGTCCCCACCCGTGGCAGGGGTTGGAGCTGGATGAGCTTTAAGGTCCCTTCCAACTCAGAACACTCTGGGATCCTACAAGTGGGTCCCAGATCCCACCATCCCCAAGAGCCACAGGGGCTCATCCCGCTGGAGCAGCAGCCTCAGGCATGCTGGGAGGAGGAATGTGCCCCAGGAGCAGACGCTGCCTGCGCCATCCCAGAGCTCCCGGACGGGTTGGGCGGCTCAGCCCCAGCGCTCAGCAGGGCAATGGGCAGGACTCCCCGGTGACCCCGTTCGGGGCAGCACTGCTGCTCCTCACACCCTGCTCACCGCACGCCCGGCGCGGGCTGGCGGTGACGCGTCCCTTGGTCACCGCGGCGCCACGGCCCAGCTCCGGCCTCGTCCCTCGCGGTGCCCTGGGAGCAAAGCAGCCCAATTCCGGTTGCGCTGAGTCCCAAGGAGCAGCCGGGACACAGCTCCGGCTCCAGCCGCTGTGGATTTCACACCCGGAACGTGCGTCCCAGAATCCGCCCCCAGCGCTGGTGGCACCGGATTGTTGGTGCTGTGAATGAGGGTTCAGATCCTGCGATGGTTTGTGGAGATGGGAATTGCCATCCTGGGAGGCACGGGGGATGTGCAGTGGAGGCCCTACCTCCCGGAATCGTTTCATCCTCCCATTCCTGTGCTGTACGGTGGGACCCTGGGGTCTCCCTTTGCACCCGCAGCGGCACAGGGAAATGCTCCAGGATCCATCCTCTGCCCCTCGTTAAATCCCCCCCAAGCCCAGAGATGGAATGTGCCTTTTCCCTTGACTTTTGATCAATTATTCATCTCCCAAGAGCCGTTTGCTCCCCCTCTCCGAGGCAGAGGAGCTGCAGATGCTGCTGCAGCTGCAGGAGAGGGGGACTCGCTCAGAGCCCAGCTCCTGCTCCCAGAGGGCAATGGAACAATGGGAATGGGGGAGCCGGGTGCAGAAAACCAACCAAAAGGCAGCCAGGAAACTGGAAACTTGGATCTGCTGCGGGATCTTGGATGCTGCAGCCCCGTGGGGATCAACACTGGGAAGCAGAGGCTGCTCTGTGTGAAGGCGGGCAGGATGCTCAGCCCTGTCCCCATGGCTGCTGCCCAGGCTCCTCCCGCGGTGGCTGTTTTCTCTCTCCAGGAATCCGATTGTTTTCAGCAGCTCTTTCATTATTCTCTTTATCAGCCGAAATCTCTCCTGGAGCTTTTAACTCCAGCAGCCAGCCCCACTGGTCCCAGCCCCGGCCATCCCCGCCTGCCTTAACAGCCTCTGCCAGAACAATCAGGTTTTGATGGCTCTAAAGAGCCACTCAGGACGATTCAGCCCCATGGCCTGGATCACTCCACAGCAGCTTTCTCCTTCTCCTTGGAAAAGCAGCGTTGCCCTTCCCAGCCTTTCCCATGGATGCTGCCACGGGCCAAGTGTCCACAGCCATTCCAGCGAAGCTGCACAACACGCCACTGCCGAAGGGGAGGGTGATTAACACCAGCCCTAATGAGCCGTTGCAGTGGTTGGGGTGCATGCACCCAGAGTCCCAAAGGTTTGACCTCCCACTCCCCAAATTCCCATCCTCGGGTGAACCCCGTGGGAATGGCAGCTTTGGAATGTGGGTGCTTCCCTCTGCACCTGCACAGCTCAGCCCCACACTGTGCTTCCCAGGGGTGTGATGTTGGTCCCTGGGTCCCCCATGGGCACAGCCCCAGCCCCGCTGACCTCTCCCCCTCCCCGAAGCCTCCTCATGGGCACCCCTTCTGCAAAGAACCCCCCACCCCGGAGCCAAGGGCTGGGGTGGCAGCATTCCAACTGTATCCCAGGCAAAGGGAGGAGCAGGGAGGAGCCAGTCCTGGGGCTCAGATGTGCCTCCAGCCCAGAGCATCCCAACCTGGATTGCAGTTGGGATTGTGGCTGCTGCCCCCCCCCCAGCACTGCCCCAACCGGGGGGAATGTTTCCACATGCAGGCATGAATCAGCCCCAGCGCAAGGAACCCATCTGGGCTGGAGCAATGGATCCATCTGGGAATGGGGGAAGGGAGGAACCTGCCGGTGCAGCTCTTCAAGGGGCTGTGCCTGGAGTCTTCCCACTTGCAGGAGATGCAGGTCAAGGCCTGAGAGCACCTGCTCTGTGGCCAGGGAAGGGTCCCACTGGGAGATCTTGGCTGCTCACTCCTGGCACAGTCCACCTGAACTGATACCTTCAAGTCAAACCCTCCAATTCTGAGGTTTTCTTTGCATTGAGCACTGGGGACCCCAACACAAGAGGGACGTGGAGCTGCTGGAGCGGGGCCAGAGGAGGCCACAGAGATGCTGCGAGGGCTGGAGCAGCTCTGCTCTGGAGACAGGCTGAGAGAGCTGGGCTGGGGCAGCCTGGAGAAGAGAAGGCTCCTGAAGGGGAGACCTGAGAGCAGCTCCAGTGCCTGAAGGGGCTGCAGGAAAGCTGGAGAGGGGCTTGGGACAAGGGATGCAGGGACAGGCCAAGGGGAATGGCTTTAACCTGCCCGAGGGGAGACTGAGATGAGCTCTTAGGCAGAAGCTCTTCCCTGTGAGGGTGCTGAGGCGCTGGCACAGGGTGCCCAGAGAAGCTGTGGCTGCCCCATCCTTGGCAGTGTTCAAGACCAGGTTGGACACAGGGGCTTGGAGCAAGCTGCTCTAGTGGAAGGGGTCCCTGCCCGTGGCAGGGGCTGGAGCTGGATGAGCTTTAAGGCCCCTTCAACCCAAACCATTGCAGGATTTTAGGCTGAATTCCAGCTCTCCTGGAACCAGTGGCTCTTCCCCCACCTGGTTAATCATTCACAGGGTGCCTGGAGAGCCAGGAGCTCTGCCACAGCCCCTGAGAGGGGCCATTTCCCAGCTGGAGACAGAGGTGTGTGTCCAAAGGGATGATCCATGGAGAAAGGCATGAATTAGCAGGGCAGGAGGCAGAGACCAGCAGCACCAGCCCGGGACAGAGCTGGTCATCCCAGGGTGGGGCTTTGTGAGGATCAGGGAGCTCAGAACCTGCATCAAAGATTAAGCATTAAACCCACAATCACCAGTATTAAAACCATGGATTAAAGCTCAGAGCACTCCCTTCTCCTCTTCCAGGGACTCACCTGCTTTAATGCCCTTACAAATCCAAGCTGGATTTGGAGGGAATGTGGGAAACATCTGCCTTGGGGAGGTACAAATGTGCCAAGTGGATCCCACTGACACAGGATCCCAAAGCAAAGCCCCCACCACCACCTTGGAAGGGTAGGAGAGAAACTAAATCCACCCACTACTGCTCTGAATCCCAGTGGGAATGAACTACTTGTACCAGGTTTTCCCCTCATCCACCACTCCAGTGCCTGGCAAGTGACTGGAAGGAGCCCAGTACACACCAGTCCTGCGTGCTGGTGGGTTTTAGATGAGGTTTTGCAGGACAAGCTTGGAGAGGTGGTGGGATTTTTACTTCCAGTTGACTCCTCGTGGTTTTCCTGCAGTCAGCGCAGGGCTGGAAGCACAAAGGCACCAGGTCCCCCGCTCCAGGAGCATCTGACCCCCTCCAGGGCAGGTCCCCACCACTGCAGGGGTCTGGGGTGTCTCAGGACCTCCCTAGCACAGCCCCTTGAGCTGTGCTTCACTCGGTAAATAAAGCCAAGACAGAGCCAAGGGCTGTTGGGAAGGAGACATTTACTGGCCCAAGAGGTGCCCGCTGCGGTGTCCCTCCCCTTCAGCAGGAGCCCCACAGCATCACCCGCTTGCGCCGTGGCTTTTCTTCCCGCAGGAATCCCACGTCGACGCCTCCCCACGGAGCCACATCCCTATGGATCACGGCCGCGGGTCTTCCTTGCCCTTGTGGTAGTCGGGGGGGGTGTACTTCCCTTCCCTGATCATCTTGTCCCGCTGCTCCAGGATGGTTTTCAGCCTCGCAGCCTGGCCGAGGACACACACGGGGGGGGGGTGGGGGGAAGCACTGAAGGGTCCCCAAAGCTGTGTGCATGCAGAGCTCCCCCCCGCCCTGGGGCTCAGCCCCTGCAACACTTCCAGGCTGTTGCAACACGGTTTAATACTGATAATGACCGGGTTTCAGCCCGCAGGGGAACGGCAGCTTCCCCACCGCTGCTGAGCACTGGAGGGGCGGGGGGGGGGGAGAGCGCAGCAAGGGGCCCGCAAAGCCCACAGCCCCCCCGCGGAAGGGGGCTCGGCCCCGGCGGCACTCACCAGCTTGGTCCGGTGCATGCACTCCATGAAGTCCTCGTACTCGGGCTGGCACTCGCGGCGGGCGCGGGTCTGGCCCAGGCCGTGCCCGCACTCCACCCACTCCCGCTCGAAGGCGTGACAGGCGCCGGCGTTGCCGTGGGGCTGCGGCATGCTCTGCCGGAGCAGCCACCGGTCCACATCGATGCCGAGCTGCTGCTGCAGGTCCCAGAACGGCATGGCTCCAAGACGGGAACACCTCCGGAGCACGACCGGGCCGCCGCCGCCGCCGTCCTTCACGGGCCTTTCACGACGCTGCCCGCCGTTAAGCGCCACCGCAACCGCGACACCCGCCCCGCGCTTTACGGCTGGGAGGCTCCGGCGGAGCCAGGGAGAGGAGATGAACAAGAGGCAAGAGCAGCCTGCCCTGGTAGAGCGCCCCTGGCGGCGCGGAGGACAGACCGCCCGCCGCGCCCCGGCGCCCCCTGCCGGCCGCTGCGGCTGGCTCAGAGGCTGTCCCAGTGCTCCCGGTGCTCCCAGTGCTCCCGATGCTCCCGGTCCTCCCGGTGCTCCCAGTGCTCCCGGTGCTCCCGGTGCCCCCGATGCTCCCGGTGCTCCCAGTGCTTCCGATGCTCCCAGTGCTCCCAGTGCTCCCTATGCTCCCAGTGCTCCCGGTGCTCCCTATGCTCCCAGTGCTCCCGGTGCTCCCAGTGCTCCCAGTAATCCCAGTGCTCCCGATGCTCCCGATGCTCCCAGTGCTCCAAGTGCTCCCGGTGCTCTGAATGCTCCCAGTGCTCCCAGTGCTTCCAGTGCTCCCAGTGCTCCCGGTGCTCCCAATGCTCCCCATGCTCCCAGTGCTCCCGGTGCTCCCAGTGCCCTCAATGCTCCCAGTGCTCCCAGTGCTCCCGATGCTCCCGATGCTTCCAGTGCTCCCAGTGCTCCCAGTGCTCCCAATGCTCCCAATGCTCCCAGTGCTCCCAATAGTCCCAGTGCTCCCAGTGCTCCCGATGCTTCCAGTGCTCCCAAGTGCTCCCAATAGTCCCAGTGCTCCCAATGCTCCCAGTGCTCCCAGTGCTCTCAGTGCTCCCAGTAGTCCCAGTGCTCCCAGTGCGCCCCATCCCCACACTTCAGGCCCCCTCAGTGCCCCCAGTGCTCCCAGTCCCTGGGCTCTCTCCATGTCCCTGTTCTCCGGCAGTTTGGGTTCTCTGCAGGACCCCCCCTCCCAGGGCAGAGCCCTCCATCAGGGCTGCCAAGAGCTCGGAGACGAGGATGGGAGCCCCAAGTCCCCCCCATAGCACCCCCCGCCTGGCACTCACCCTCCCTATCCCCATACGCCAGCAGTGTCCAAGGTTTGGGGGCACAGCCCCACCTTCCCTACGAGAGCAGCACCCAGCTGCCTATTGCAGCCTGATTCCCGGCCACCCGCGCTTGGGAAACGCCTCCTCGGAAGCTCTGGACAACCGGTAATTCCCTAACTCCCAGAGCCCAAACCTGCTCGGCCCCATTGCTGTCCCGGCGGCACACACAGCACACGGGCAGGAGAAACAGGCTTTATGGCACAGGCTTCAAAGACCTCACCACGGGGCGATGCCGGCGGCGGGCAGGATGCGTCCCGTGCTCCCGGGGCTCAGATGATCCCGGCTGGAGCAAAGACCGGGGTGACACAGAGGGACTCTGCCATCTCCCAGCCGCAGGACAGCGGGGTGCAGATGCTCTCGTGGTCGTCTCCGGGTTGTGGTGGCTTCCCAAGGAAGAGCTGGACGGTTTTCCTGCGGGAGAGAGCAGCCCCTCTGGAATGCTGCAGGATAGGGCTGGGAAAGGGGGAGCTCAGGGGCTCCCTTGTCCCCCTGAAGCCAGAGGTGGCTTCCCCAGCAACAAACTGCTTCAAGCCTGTCAAGGCTTAAAAACCAGAGGAGTTTTGCATCTGAAACCAGCTTTTCCCAGCTTCTGGTGCTCAGATTGGACCCCTTCCCTTGGGCAAAGAGCCCAGGTGGAAATCAAGGCGGTGTTTCCCATGGGATTCACCCCATCCCCAGCACCCTGCTCATGCAGGAGATGCAGGGTGATGTCCCTCTTACCAGGCCATGCGGGACATGGCGTAGGTGATGTGGGGCTGGGGCCTCCCCGGGGGGGCCGTGCTGATGCTGTAGGCACCCATGTCCTCAAAAACGAGCCAGTCCCCGACCTGCAGCTGGGGCAGGGCCAGGCCATCGGCCAGGCGGTCGTCTGCATGGCCAAGGGGGCCGTGGAGGCTGCTGCTGTGCGAGGGGTGGTCAGGGCAGGGTCTCTGCAGGGAAACGATGGGGTATCCATTGGGAATGAGGCCATCGCGGAGCCACAGGGACCTGGTTCATCACCACCCACCCCGGGAGCCCAGGGACAGGCTGCAGCTCTGCTGGTTCATCAGGGCAGCATCAGCCCCGGGGCTCCTGCTCCCCTCTGCTATGGAGCCCGGGGGCACAGAGGAGGGCTGGGCTCGATGCCACCCACCGCGAGGGACCTCACCTTGGGCAGCTGAGGTGTGGGGCAGGGGCTGTCAAACAGGAGGCAGCTGAAGGCGCCGTAGATGCCGTCGCTGAGGTGATAGACGAGGCTCTTCTTGTTGGCAGGGTCCTCCGGAGAGGAGCAGGGAGAGGGCTCAGGGGGGCTCGGGCACTCGGCAGGGCTGGTCCCATCCCAGCCACTGTCAGAGCCGGGATGCTCCATGGGGGGCTCCTCCCTGGCAGTGATGGTGGCAGCCAGGGTGAAGGCAGAGGTGACGTAGAATCGCCCTGGCTGGGCCATGATCTCCACTCCGCGGCCATCCGGGAAGTACGAGTCCAGGGCAGAGTTTATCACAGCAGCCATCTGGAGGGGAGGGAGGCGATGGGTGATGGGAGCAAACCGGAACAGGGCAGGTTCAGGCTGGAGATGAGGAAGCTCTTCCCTGTGAGGGTGCTGAGGCGCTGGCACAGGGTGCCCAGAGAAGCTGTGGCTGCCCCATCCCTGGCAGTGTTCAAGGCCAGGTTGGACACAGGGGCTTGGAGCAAGCTGCTCTAGTGGAAGGGGTCCCTGCCCGGGGAGCTGGATGAGCTTTAAGGTCCCTTCCAACCCAGACCATTCCATGACTCCATGATAAAATGTTCCCCCTGGGTTAGCTCAGCCCCTCTGCAGGAGCCAGACCCAGGCACCCTCCACTCTCTGCCTGCTGACCCAGGCACGGGAGCCACGCACCTCTTTGAACCGGGCCCTGGTGTCCTCGGTGCCAGGGAATCCGCCTCCGATGTCCAGGAGGTGCATCTGGAAGCCCAGCTCCGTGCCCATGTCAAAGGCCAGTTGTGCTGCAGCCACAGCCTGAGCGAAGGCCTGAGGCTCCAGGCCATGGCTCCCGAGGTGGAAGCTGAGGAACAGCCCCTGTGTCAGCAGGGGTTGTGTCCCCAGAGAGCCGGGAGGGGACACAGCGCTGGGACCGTCGCTCACCGGGTCCCACACACCATCCCAATGCCGAGTGTCCGACCAGCCCCTCAGAGCCCCCCAGATCCTCTCTGAGGTGCAAACCTGCCCCAAACTGGTCCCACAAGGGTCAACCTCCCCAGGTCCCTGCCTTCACCTCTCTCCCCACCAGAGCCGCTGATGGCTCCATGGACCTCCCTGCGGTCCCTATGGATAAAGGACCACGCGCTGTACCTGATGCCAACCACCTCCACAGCCTGCTCCTTCGCCATCTCCAGCAGGTGCCTGCAGGACTTGAGCGTGGTCCCAAATGCCATACTCGGATGGGCAGAAGGGCTGGAATCAGCAGCGATACCCAACAACATCCTGCAGAGCAAAGCCACCCGGTGCTGAGGGGTTTCACGCCCTCTATCACCCCACAGCCACCCCATAGCTCCTACACCAGCTCCCCCCGTGCAGTGATGCTGCCGGACACCCACCGAGCCCGAGGATGGCTCCGGGCCACCTTGCTCAGCTCCACCTCGTTGTCAAAGGCCATGAGCTGCACCCCGTGGCTCGCTGCATACTTGATGTGGGCAACCTGCTTGCAGGGGCTGCTGTAGAAGATCTTGTCAGGGGGGACTCCGATGCTCTGAACCCGTGCGATCTCTGCCTGCAGGGACACAACACACACGTTGGCACCTCGCTGAGCCCTGGGCCAGCATCACAGCCTGGGCTTTGCCAGGGAACAGCCACAGGAGCTCAAAGGGATCACGCCAGACCTTGTCCTGGTAAGGGCAGGTTGCAGCAAGATGTCTACGAGTGGAATGAGAAGAGGAGGAGAGGAAACGAGGGGGTTTAGCAGGTATGGGGTTGGTGCGTGTGTCCCCTGTGAGCTGCAGCGAGGGTGACAGTGGCAGCGTTGCTCTGACCTGTCACAACCCTGCACTTTCTCCTCCTGGTACCATTTAACTGTGTACAAGTGGCTCAACTCTGGTTCCTCCCTGGAATCTGGCTATTGCAGGAGGGCGCAGGGAGCTTGAAAGCCACCAGGAGTTGGATGGTTGTGGCAGCAGCCCCCCAGGGACCTGCCTTGCCACCAGCCAAGGCACCAGTTCCAGAGGCAGGAATGAGGGTCAGAGGGAAGAAGCCTGAGCCACCAGAGAGGCCATGGATTTCTGAGCTGTGTTGGGAGGAGAAACCTGCATCCTGCTGCTTTCTCATCACAGAATCAACCAGGTTGGAAAAGACCTTTACAACCAAGCCCAGCTGTTAAATGCCCAAAGGATGCTTCCCCCAGGCTGTTCTCCCACAGCCCTACCTTGTTGGTACAGGCAAAGCCTGTCCCCAGCTCCGCCAGCAGCCGAATCACTCCTTCGCTGCTGTTGCATTTAACGGGGAAGAATGGCTTCACCCGGGGTAGGGCCTTCAGGAACTGCAGGTGTTTCTTCACGATGTCCCCCAGGTCTGCCACGAAGAAGGCTTGCTGGGCACCCTGGGGGAAAGCTGCAGTGAGCAGCACTGCCCCCCCCGTGCCAACCTCTGCCAAGGGAGCAGCGAGCATCGGCCCTCACCGCCTGGCACGGCTCCACGAGGAGGTTCTCCAGCAGGTCTCTGGTGGTGAAGCCCTCCTCCACCATCATGAAGTTGGACTCATTCAAGTACCCGTTCATGGCTGAGGTGCAGTAACGTGAGTTTGAGGCCTTCTCGAGTAGGGTTTAGCTTCTAAATATGCAACGCAGTGGGAAAACAAGGAAAGGGATGCAAGAAGCAAGGTCCAGAAGCTTCACCAGTGTACACCCTGAGCTCCAGACCTTGCAGCTCAGGCACCAACCC